CAGCAGCAAATTAAGTGGTTTGTGTTTGTATAAAGGTTCAGGGAGACACAAACTGTGTTTGGTTACTGAAAGGTCCTGCCAGGCAGAGCTGACACTGATCTGGAAGAACAAGCATGAAGAAACCGATTCCTCATCCTTTTTGTCCTGAGCCAAATGCTTAAGTACGCAGCAAGGCTCCATGCAGAGCTATGGGAATGGGCTCCACCCAGCTGTAATGCTGCAGAGGAATTGCAGCCTTGCTCATTTGTATTTCTCAGGCAGGAGATGGCAATGAGCTGTGGTTGCAGAGAGAGAGAGAAACACAAAACTCTACCTCCTGCACACGTTCATAAATCTAGCCAATCCTCTCCCAAATCAATCTTCTCACTCCCATCTCCACCCTGCTGGAGCTGTCTCCATGGGATGCTTCCAAGTAGGGAAGAGGTTGCAGCTCTCTGTTGTTGCCATTTTGGGAATGTTGTTTTATAGATTGGACTTGCTGTGGTTTGGGTGAAAGAGTTTGGCATAAAATCTCAAAAAGTCAAACACAGACAGGCTCTTTTTCAGGAGCTCTTTCCATGTGTGTGTTTTTCCAGGGAGACTTTTTATAAATGCTTTTTCTTTTTAAATAGAAAGTGATCTAAGGTGGCTTGTTCCCACCCACCCACCAAGTGCCAGAGGCCAGCTGATTACAGGGCACCTCTCACTGCACCCTCTTTATTATGCCTGTGGTAGGTTCAGATCCACATTTGAAGGAAAGCGAGATCCTCTGCAATGAAGATTCAAAAGGCTATGAGACAGCTGAATGCAGCCACCATTTCTGCACTGCAAGGACTCAACACCAGCTCCTCCCTCAAGGATCAGCTGCTTTGAAAGCTATTGCTCTCTGCAGCTTATCGGCTACATCTGCTCAGCAGAAAAACTTAAATGGTCCAGCAACCCCCATCCTGCAAACCACAGGACTGAGTGAGCTCCCAAATTCCCTGTCTTTACTCAAGTCATCCTCAAGGAAAGATGCCAGCAAAGCGAGTGGGCTAGCTCCTAAGAGGCACTGACATGGGGATACATCCCCATGATGGCAAGAAGGAACAAGTCAAGATGCAGCTGAAACCTCAGTCTTGGGGAACACAGAACTCCTCTGGGGTAGAATCAGGACCGACGCCCTGGTGGGTGGATTAGTTTTGGTGATGTTCTGTTTAATGAGAATTGTTCATTGAAATCAATGACTTCACTCTCCAAATAGTCTCCCATGCCAAAGGCAAAACCCTTCACTGAACTGACTGTGCTGGCTGCTGTAGAGCACTGGGGAAATACAGTTTTCAAGAGCATGGCAAAGAATGGATGTCTTAAAGATGCGTTGGGGCTCCATTTAGGATCCTAACCTCTAATCTGCCCAATTAATCTGATGAAACAGATGTGAAAGAGGAAGAACAGCCAGTCTCCTAGGAATCACAGAGACATTAGAAGGATATACTTGCCAGATGTTGAATGTTTGCTCTCTGGAATGCCTCCTCCCTCCCTAACCGGACTTTCTGGCTCCATTTCCATGCACCCTGAACTACACCGTGTAGCAACATGCAGCTTGTAAAACACTATTCAGGCACTCTGTACTCACGCGTATTGCGGTGGGAAAAAATGGTTCTGCCAGTCAGAAAAAAAGGTGTCAATTCAGAGATCTTCCAGTTGACAGAGTTGCTCTGTGGCTTTGGTCCCTGCACTGTCTGGGAGAAGAATGTGCAGTGTCACTGCTCCACTCACGCTGCTAGCAGCCTAGTGACGCTGGGAAGGACAGTCCTTGAGGCTGTTTCTTTGGAAAAAAAACTTCTTGGGGGGGGGAATCCCTGCAATGCTGGTGCCCTGTGCTCAACTTTATCTTAACAGCTCTCAACAGTATCATGGAAGGGCACTGGGATGAATGAACTTAGTCAATTTAAGTAAGGAGGGAGCAGGGGTGAAGGTGTGAGATAAAATCTAGGACAACATACCCAACTATGGGATATGCGCCAGGCATGGGGCAGAGTCCTCTGAAGGGAAGGGACAGTCTCAAAGGGTAAACAGAGGAGGACAATTCCACCTTATGGGGGCAGTCTGGGTGCAATCACAGCCACCATTCCTAAGCTCCCCCTGGGACATTTAAAACAAGTAAAACAGAACACCATAAGTGAGCCAGACTGTGAAAGGACAGAGTGAAACATAAGATACTGGAACCTGTTGTTTCTTCAACACCCTTCTTTATGTTGCAGGGAATCTAGAACTCCAGCAGGGGCTAAACAATTCCAAACACAAACATCAGTGACACAGGAAATCCTTTTCCAAGATGGAGCAAGTAACAACCAGTTTGGAAAAAAGGATTTGCTGGGAAAAGGCAAGGGAAATACAAAACAACACCCTGCTTTAAAAACACAAATGAGATGCCACTCACTTGAAATGCACAGGCTGCAGCTGCTTAAAAGGAGTGAGAGACCAGAGCCCCATTCTGGCCCCACACTGTAAGAAGGCATCAAATAAAAATGGTAGATGGGATACCATTCATTATCATCAAGCTAATCACCCAAGAAACGGCTTGCTTCCTGCTCACCATCTCCTTAAAGACCTGGCCTTGGAAATTCAATACAAGCAGAACTGTGCTTTGAAGGGATGTAATGCAGTTGGTGGCTTTTGAGAACTGCACTCACCGAGCCTGTGGGATTTGGCTGGACAATGCACTGTTAATTGTTTCGATATACTTATTTGAAACTGGCATTTAATCAAACCTCCTCTTTCAGGGAGCCTTAGTGCAACCCTTCTGCACAATGCTATGTCCCGTGGCATTCATAAATGGGGCATTCAATAGTCAGGCTGTGACATGTAAGTGCAACCAGGCATCGGTGGCACTCTAGCTGCATCATAATCAACTCAAGAGTGATAAAGCACTAAGCTCCCAAATATCACCTCTGCACAGTCTCGTTTGTTGAGCTGGCGAATGTTAAGAGCTTACCTACCACTGAGTTGGCAAATGTTAAGAAACATCCTGCAGGACTGAGAGGTGTTTTTCCAAATGGAATTGATGAGAATAGGCTCAGCTGATGATTCTTTGATGTAGCTTTTTATATGGCATCATTGATATAAGTTTTATGGATGCAGTTGCTATAACAACATAATGCACAGTGGTTAAATATAGCAGCTCCTATTTTCCACTCAGTTTGCTCTGCTCTAAGCAGACAAGGAGTATTCTTTTCTGTTCTAGCTGGGATGAAATGGATTTGATAGCTCACTGAATAGAAGAAGTGGTACAGTCCTTCCTCCCCCTTCACAAAGGCTATTCCTCTGCACTCTAAGCAAGCAAGCAAACAACAAAACCAACAGCCCCCCATTTTCTAGGCTACTGGGCACAAAGGTTTGTTTAAAACCAAAATGCACAATGACTCATACAAAACTGAACCACCTTGATACTACATGTGATCTCAGTGCAAACACTGTAATTTCAAAGTGCAGGAAAGAGAGTTTCTCACATATTCCTGTCACGTAGTATTTACCACGCTTACTACCGCAGTGCCTAGCGTGTCACTCAAGACCTGTCCTTCCTTGTGGATGCATATACAGGATCCACCCTCTCTTGGCCATAGGGAAAGCTTCTATTTGAGGGGATAAGAGAGAACGATGTTGCCAAATCAAGGTGATGGGGAAAGAAGCAGAGCTACAGAGGATTGCTTCCAATTCTCCCTTCTTTGCTATAGTGAGATTTCCTTGGTTTTGGGTTAGGTTTTTTTTCCATCTGGAAGCCAGAACTGAAATACTCCCGGGGGAGACTGAAATCAAATAGCAATTTGTGTTCCTCTCCCATCCTGTTTTTTCTTATTTTTTCCTTGCAGAAGAACAAATCCACCCTCAAACCTTGGCATTTCACAGTTCCTCCCAGATCTGAAGCCTAGACACACAGCAGCAGCTGGACTCCCTGCAAGCTGTCAGGGAGAAAGTTGCTGCAAGGGAAAGGGTACATTTCTTCTGAATAGTTCCTGCTTCTTTGGGCATAAACTCTCTTCCAGACACTAGAAAGAATATTTATGCCCTTAGCAGATAATACTGAGCATCTGCTCAGCTATGACCTGAACTGTTTTGTTCCTTGAAGTGGTTTAATAATTTGCACCTCCTGAAGCAAGGAGTTGTGGGATGGGTCACACAGCCTGTTCCGCCTCCGCTCTTGCAGAAAGTAATCTCTTAGGTAGTGGGCACAAGTCTACCTCCCACAGACTGGGAGCATCCAAAAGAGCTGAGGATCACTGCACCAGCCCTCTGCTTCATCCTTTCCACTTACAGCCACAGTGGAGGCAGAACCCTGCAGACCTTGTTCAAAGATGGTTAATAAATACATTGCACATGATACCTGGAGGGGAGAGTTCATTTGCCTTTTCCTTGCCATGTAGCGCTGGGGCCCCAGGGGCAGCAACCGCTGCTTTGCAAAGCCCTGCTGGCAGAGAGGTACGCGAGAAGCCTCAGCATGCGCTCCCAGCACTGCCTGTACTAGCCAATATGTGAGAACTCATCAGGGCACTGAAAACCAGGAGTGATACAGTCATGCTCTACTTCCTCCATGACACAAACTGAAAAATAATGAGGGCAAGCAAGCCACTAAAAATAAACTTAACCTTTCAGTGGCCACAGCGTCACTCCTGCCACATGCAGATGACTGGGCCACTATGCTTATTTCTGCTGATTCAGGGCTGGAAGAGAAACAAAGCACAAACCAGCCCCTAGTTAATGAGAGCTGCTTATACCCTGGTGTCCCTATCAGCATGTATCTCAGAAGCCCAGGACAATGTTCGACTGTAGGCTAAGGACTAATGCAAAGGTCTGAGTTCAAGGGGTTTGCAGATAATGAATACTTGTTAATAACATACTCTGAGACAAGAAGAGGGTTAACATCCCCACTGCACACACAGGAAACCTACAGCAAGAAGGTGGGACAGTGATTTCTGCACAGCCATGAAGTGAGACAACAGTAGAGCTAGGATCAAAATTGAGAGTTTTCCTTAACTTTCTTATACATAATTCAGCTGCTAGCTTGTTTTCCCTGTATCTCTTCAGGATGTAGGGGGACACCTAACAACCCTTCATTCCTATTTGCAGGCCACCAAGCAATTATTTGACTGAGCAAACAGAGGTCCAGGCAGCTGGAAGCTCTCTAGTCCCTCTGTGCCAATGGTGTGAGCATCGGTCATCAACCTCTGTTCCTCACTCAATCCTCAAATAACACTGTGCCAGAAAGCATCTCCTCGCTTAGCCCAAACAAACACACAGTTTGCTTTAACTCCACCCCCTTTCCTTCCGCTAGGATATTTCAGAAGTTGCTGGGAAAAGCCATAACCCCTCCTAACACTGAATTCCAGCCATCAGATAGCATCAAAGACTTTCGGCATCTTCCCAGAGGAGCTCAGCAGGTCACAGTACAGGTTCTGTGGCACTGCAGCTTTTTCTAGGCAAGTGAGAAAGGCAAATCACTTATGTTGTTAGCAAGGAGAGCCAGAGAGTTACCTGAATTGCACAGATGATTCAGAAAACAAATGGGCGCTAATAATACAAGATATACTTGCAAAGAGTTCTCCTGTCTGGGAAAGGCAGGGGCAGCTCTGGGGGAGATGTCTTTAGGACACAATGAGGTCTGAACGAGCAGAGGGTTAAAATAAAATACAGTAGCTGGCTTGCCAGCAAAATTTGGGTGATTTTAATACAAGGGATTTTTTTTGTCTAGCAACCTTCCCATATCACAGCACAGAGACAGAGGTTCTCAGAATTTAAAGAATGGAAGTGAAGGAATGAGTTGACATAGGAAGAGAGTGGTAAATAGGGACAGCTCCAGTGAAAGAGCAATGTCCTTGGGTCAGAGAGGTAAATTCAGGTACCTGGACAGGGTGGCAACATCCTCTGGAACAATGGTGAAGAACTTTCCAAAATCCAACAACCACCAGCTCAGGCATCAGCTATTCACACACTCTCCTCAAACCAGAAGTGCAAAGTGATCTGTGGCATATTTTAGTGTGATCAAGGACAGGAAGACCAAAGAGGGCTCAGTGAAATGGAGACTGGCAAAGCACCAGCAGATGGAATAATAAAAGGATGCTGTAGGTCATTTACAGAGCTAAGAGTTTCCCCAAACATTATCATGTCCCACAGCCTGCCACTCAGTTATATCAATGAAGTTAATACTGCTCTTGGCTCTAGCAATTAGTTTTTTGCTTACACACAAACACCACATTCACTCTGTAACACTATATTGAGGCATTCAGTGAAGCCTGCAGAACACTGTACCTTAAAGCAGTGTAAAGAGAAATGTGGTTAGCATGACCACTCACTCCTCCTGCATCAAAGGTTACCACCTGCAATAAAACCACAGAACAATAATCATTTTGAAGAAAGAGACTGTGCAGTTACCACCTTTGACATCTAACACAGCACTGTCCCAGCCCATTGTATATAAATAGTTGGTTTTCTGTTGCACAATGAGGCCTTGTGTGTGAACTCATGCTACAGAAATACAACTAAACAAACAAGACGCTCTGGAACTAGATGACTATACAGTCTAACAGACTGAACAACAGAAAGATGACAAATATTGTGTTCCCACTGGCAGGATGCACTTGTTACTTATTACCAGGCCAAAAGGTTACTTTCAGAGTGATCTTTTGCAAACTTGTTCCTGACCCAAGAGGTCCAGCTCTATGAATCACTCTCTCCTGGATATGAGAACATACTAGAACGCCTGCAGATTACAGGGTGAAACTAAAGTTTCTTGTACTGTGAATCAGGACATACTGCTTTAACAAAAGCAACACAATCACATACTACTGTCCTGATTGTAACGAGGCTTCATCACAGGATAACATAGTGATAAAATAATCTGATAGGAGAACAAGCCTTTTTAAAGAATCAGCTGATTGCACTTCTTGTACAAGCAAGCCAGGCTTTTTACTGAATGAGAAGATCATATAATTTATTGATTCCCTGCAGAGGGAAATGGGAACTTCATAATGCAGAAGTAACGTGTGACCACAGCACTAACAAGTCACCATCCAAGGCACAGAATACCCTTGGCTCCTTGCCTTCAGACCTACCAATAATGTGTCAGGGGTGAAGCACCCACCCTAAGGGCTCACTCTGCACAGTACTGTGAAGTGGGCACTTAAAGGCTCCCGCTTCCAACCCCGAGGACAAACTGGCAGCGCAATGAGTAGAACAGGCAGGGAATGTGTTGGTAGGTTTTCCAAATGGTGAAAATGACAGTCCTTGGCCAATCTAAAATTATGTTTTTCCTCTGGGACAGGCCAGGCAGCAAAGCTCTCCACAGCTCCTTTCTCTATGACCAGGAAGAAATCATAAACTTCCTACATTTCAATCAATTTCTGCTTCCTTGCCAGCTTGTTCTCTCTTCAGGGAAGGAGATGCTACTGCCTTGCTTACTCACCACAGCTCCCTTCTGAAAGTCTATTTTATACGCAGGACCTGAAGTACTGGGTTAAAGATCAAGGGAAGATCAAAAGCCACCCTGCCAGTCCTGCAACTTGCCACTCCACCCTCCAACAGGAGAGGCCCTCTCAAACACAGGAGATACTGTGTAAAGAGGGAGAGGAAACACAAAGCGATAAGAAATACTTCAAAAAACCCAAACTCCAGACAACCCTTGCTTATAAGCCCACCCACCCAGTACAAGTCCACAGTTAGACTTTCCACTTTGCCCAGTGGCTGTAATAATGCTGCCACAAAGCAGCAGGGTTATTCATGGATGGCAGGAAGTGCCGGGACTCAATTTGGTTTCGTTCAGGTACAAAGAAGCATTTTCGGGTCAACCCTTATAAGGAGAAAAATTATGTCTTCGGCTTTGGTAGTTTTTGCTGTACATCAGCATTACCTGAGAGACTCTCTGCAGGGACTGCATGGTTTGGCACAGTGCAAAGCCCTCCCTAAGGATATCAGCTTTTTGAGTAGCTCATCTGGGAAAGACATTATTACATTCTGTACAGCTCAAGGAACCAGCATTGCACCCTGTATTTTACAGATAAGAAAAAGCATGCTCTGAAGTCACTCCTACCTAGAGTAGCACTTTCCTAAGATGACAATGTACCTCACTCACTGCAGTCAGAATAAATTCCTATGCAGGTGAATAACAGTGTGAGTCTGCTAAGGGATGGACTTGCACTAAGCCTTTTTACTAAATGTGGACAGAGAGAGGGTTTGTCTCTTCCACCTGATCATTTATTTTCATGTAACCTGTACAAATATAACATTTTTAAGACTGCTACCCTGCTATCAAATGTGGCTGAAATTAGCCAATGGGCTCTGGAGTCTTTTGAAACACGCATGTGCACACAATATAATAAATACAATTGCATTACTCTCGTTTCCTTAGGAAACCAAGCTAAAAACCCCAGGCAAGCCGAAACATGCAGTTTTCTCTTCTATGAAGGGTACAAGAGAACAAACCAGAAGACTGAGACAAGAGACTATAGTGAAAGGGCTAAATAAGCTAATCATTATTTTGACAAAACTGGCTTGGGCCAACTGTGGGAGCACAAGGCTGGGTTAGAAAATATCACTGACATGCAAATTATCTATTCAGAAACACTTTTGGAGGGTTTTTTTTCCCCACATCTGTTTTGAAATAGCTGCTGTCTCAGTGCTGCTGGGCTTATGTAACATCTGAACTAGCTAGAGATTGCATGGAGTTAATTTTCAATTGATGTTGTCCAATTCACTTTAGAACATTTGCACCTGAATTGCCTGTCTCTCCAAATACACAAATTTGTAAGCACAATTCCCAAGGTACCTGCACACTGACCTGGCCGCAGTGGCATTCACTTTATCTGCAGAGAGGCCACCTTTGAAACATTGGCCCTTCACTTTTAGAGATCCCTCCCAGCACACAGGCTGGATCTGACACAGTAGCAGGGTCCCACCTACCCAGTATGTAGCTTCTAGGTCTGTTGTCTAAACCGGGCACTGATTCCACAGCATCACTGTGGTGCTCGTGACTTAGAGCAGGCAGCAATCACACGTAAATATATTCCTCTGGCTTCAGGGATTCATTTCATTGATAACAAATCTGAATTTCTTTCTCATATGCTGAAGATATTTTCACACGGGAGCATTTGCTTCTTCCACATGGTACAGCTAGCTGGTGTGCTTGCTTTTAGCACATAACCTGAACCAGGCTGATGATGAAATCAAGTAATCAATTGGGGCAGGATGAGAAAACCTGAACATCTTGAAACTGTCTGGGCTAGAAACAGGCTTAGCCTGTTCGGGGAGCAAAAGGCTGGGATAGGAAATATACTTGATGTGGAAATTATTGCTCAATGAAATCTTTAGGGCAAGAGGGAGTTCCCTCCCCACACCTGTTCTGAAATGGGAGCTGCTGCCGTTGGTGTTGCTGGGTTTTCTTTGGGGTGACCTTGGTATTCAGGAAATGGAGCTTTCACTAGTGGAAGCCAGAGCAACGGCCAAGACAAACAAGTCCAGAAATCCCTTCCGGAGGGGGGAGTGCACAGAGGAAATTACTCAATTACTAGCAGAAGAGAAAAGCTCCTGAGAGGTCTGGAGTCCATGCTCCCTCTATACACCATGTGCATCAGAGGAAAAAAGCACTCAAAGCTGTGGGTCTTCCTTGCGCTTTTCTGGCATCATCCAGTGCTTCAAACAGAGCACACATCTGCTCAAGTAGACTGGTGGGGATAGAAAGATCTCTTTCCATTTTAAGAAGGGCCAGCCCATAAAATGCCATAGCAAGCAACTCCATTTCTAATGGCCTTCCTCTGAGCATCATTTCATAGGCCCAACTTACACTTGCAGAGGCCAGTGACACTCCCTTTGAGCCTCTTGCGTGTTTGCGAATGTCCCTTGTTGCTACTAAATCAGAGAAGCTAAAGATTAAAAAGAATGGTCAACTGGATGAAAAAGGAAAAATCTAATCATAATCACGTCTCAGCATCCACTGGGTTTGAGCTGCAAGTGTGTAAGTCATGTGCCAGCTCTTAGAATGAAAGGTCTCAGGGGCCTCCTGCTCACATACCCCAAAGCACACCTGAGGAAACTGCAATACAGGTGAGGAAGGGAGGGAAAGGGATGACAAAGTCTGTCCCAGCTCTGTGGCCTCCTCTAGTAAACTCCACATGCTGCACTGCAAATCTGGTGTTCTGCAAAAGCATTTAAAATCCTCTACAAATAACACACATTCAAATGCTTCTGAATTTTAGAAGAGTGTGGAGATCTAACACATAAGAGCTGAACTCACCCTCTCAAATATAAGCTCCAACTTGAATGCCGTTTGTAGAAGGATCTGGCTTTCTAGGCTGATCTAGAGCCGACCCAAGACAATGGGAGTCTTCCACAAACAGTTGTACAGATGATGTTTCCATCATTCCATAGTGGAAAGCAGCTTGCTAGAATGTGGTATTGTGGAATTCTGGTCTTGGCACTGCATCTGCCCCAAACACAGTCTGAATGTCACCTCCTAATCCAAGCTCTGCTATCACCAAACCTGAGATCCTGAAGAGCAAGTAGGATTTCATAATCTAGAGCCTGCCGGGGGCTCACGCAATACTATGTAACTTATTTTTTACACACCGAATACTTTCTAGTCTGGATCGAGACAGACTAGCCTTGGCTGCCTCTCCCAGCAACATTGGCTTTTGCTTATAAATCCAGCAGGCAGGAAATAATTTCCAAAGTCTATAAATTAGTTTTGGCTTTGAGTACAGCAACCGTTAATTTCTGTGTCTGTAGTATTTAATGCAGAGCTTGGATGAAATATGTCCCTGTAGCTCTCAAATAGATCGAGTTACTCATGGACTTCCAGGGCAATTGAGGAAATGAGTAACTATGCAATGGAACAAAACTATGCATAACATGATGTGACTCCTTGCCTTGCAATCTTTCCCTTCAGACATGTTGGAGTTGCAGCCTACTTCTCCACTGTCAGATGACACATCTGTTCTGTAAATGAAAAATACCATTGTCTATGCTATGACTACAGGGAGAACTAGGGAAAATTTTCCCACTGGGATAGCTAAAACAATGCATGTCTTCCAATCATGTTAACTCCATTGAGTTAGCTTGTTGTGTTTGAAACCCCCTTAGTTTATGTTTTGACAAGGCTCTTAGCACCTTAAGCCAATTCTGTAAATTTCAACATTACTGAAAAATAGACTCAGTTTACCTTTCAAGGCAAGGCCACTGTCTCAGGACAGCAGAGATGCTGTAAGAGTGGCTAACAGATAGCAAGCTTTGAAGTTTTAAAACGCAGAATCTTGGACAAAGGTAATTAGGCCCTTGCCTTGCCTTTGTTGGCAAACTAGGTCTGCTCCTAAATGAAATGTATTATAGCAAACATCTGAGACCTGTGTGATAACTTGGGACACTTAAAATAACGTAAGTTTACAGAGCAGTTCATTACCACCATCCTCAAGAAGCTGCTTCAGTGGCCTTTGGTACTGCTGACATGTTCTGCTACAGCAACTTGTCCTCACTGCTGCTCAGGGAAGTGCTGAGGGGAACACAGCGGGCCCTGCTGCAGTGCTCCTCGTTACTACAGCTACACCCAACATCCACAGCACAGCAGGGAGAGTACCAGTTATTGTGCCTGTTTCTTGCTTTGAAAATCCTCACACTATGTTAGTGGCAGACTCCTGACTTCCCCCGCACAAAGAGCTTGAGTTTAATTTCCTCTGAGGCAAAGATCTAACCCTTCCTAACCATCTAGAAGAAGTTCTAGTGTTTTCAGAATTTCTACTGGGATTCTGGGGCACTTGCCCTAGTGCTCGCCAGAGTCACAAACATGCAATACAAACCTTCTTGTGTTAGGAGCTTTCAGATTAGATTAAAACCTATCTCTTCATAGGGCCAAAAGGCACAAAAGGAATGCAGGAAAGCTGCATGTGTCTGTGCACAGCCATGAATTTCATGGAAAATTAGCCTCAAAATCAATACAAAGTTGGATGCACGATGCTGCTTTTTGTGCTCATGGGGCTTTCATGCTACAGGAGATGCGGTTTTGTGAATTGCTGAAAGGCTTTAAGAGCTTTGTGATTTTGCTGCTAATCAGTGTGTGACAGTGACATGCCTGATTACAGCAAGATTCAACAGAAAAGAACATAACATAGCCCTTTCCATGCTTAGGCCCTTATTCCTGTTTGGGGCGGGGGGAAACCTCAACCAAACCCAAACTGTAGCAGTGCTAGGAAATCTCTCCGGTTTAATATTCTTCAATCCTGACCTGTAACCCTGCTAATCTAGCTCTCTAACACACACCTGCCAATGTACTTCAGATCTAAGCCTAAAAGTAAGCCTAAATCCCAGATGGGCTCTCTTCATCAATGAAACCTAGCAACAGGGGCAAAATGGTTGATTTAAAATGTAGAAAACATTTGAGGAGTCAGCAAAGCAAAATTTCTCCACTGTTCACTTCTCACTGGGAAGCAAAGAAAGATCTCCAGAGAAAAAGATACATCCAAACTACACCATCAGAATTTTCCATATTTTTCAGTGGAGCAATTCTATTTGTTCTGAACTTCTAGCAGTTGTTTCAAGTGTTTGAAAGAGGATCAGAATGACCATGTCTTACTTGTCAAGACATAGGAGCTGTACAAATACTCACGAAAAGTCACAAAATACAAAATGCAAAATTGCTTTCAGGTATCATTTTAGACCTGAAATTCAGCTGGGCCTATTCAGAGGGTCTTCTACAATTAATGAACCCCAAGAACTGCTACAGTGAAACTTACTGGTGCTGACAGAGTTTGCAGTTTTTAACCAGTTTGAAGTGTTGGTAACCAGTGAAGGTTGATGACACTACAAAACAGAAGAGGCTTCATGAGCTCTAGCTAGGGAAACGGATAAACATTCTAAAGCAAGTATTTCAAGATGAGTAAGTATACTTTCTCCATCTCCTAGCCTATTTCACAGAGACTCCAGAAGCAAAATCCAAACTTTAAAGACTTAAAAAAAGCTTTCAGAGGTAAGGGAAAAGCCTAGAACACTAGTTCAAAAGTAATGTGGAAATTGCCTATGCTGTGGAAAGTTTCACATTACCAGGTTGATGTTATTGGCTTCTATATGCTTCAGCACAAAGGCGGCAAGGAGCTGTGTGTCCCATTCAACAGCAGGATTATCCGGAAGATCCCTGAAAATGAGAAGTGCAATTAGTCACTTCATGGCTGAGAACTTCATAAAGACCATGCTAGAAAAGAGAGATCTTCTTATCAGAGAATGAAATCAAGATACATTTATTCACCATATAAAACCACTGAACCTTACTTAAGAGTCTTACAAGCTTGTATATTGGAAGGTTGAAAGGGAAACAGCAGATCCAGCACCCTCCTCATAGATTTGCCCAGGTCTCCCTTTCTTCTCACCATTAAGGTAGACTCGCTGGCTGCTTTACTTTAAGCAACATCTATTTTGTTCAATGATTTTTGTTCTCTATTAATCTCAAACAAATTTCTTTCTCTCTTTATTTAAAACCCCTTTTAGAAGACATTTTCCTGAAAGACTTTCCAATCATAATCTACTGGTGAATCACATATGAAAGTAACAAGCAAACTCCTGCTCTCGTTTATACAGGAATAGGCCATTAACCTCAACCAGAGAAGAACAGGGCCATAATTATATTGCATGGACTTGACAGTAGCTCTTCATCTGTTTATTTTATGCTTTGCATACCAACTAGTATGCTAAGTATACTGTGACTGAATATTCTGCCTGGATATTTTAGATTGCAGGCTCCTAGGGGCGGGGACCATGAGCCAAATGCAAAATAACACCAGGCAGCCAACAGAATGATTCCATATTTACACAACTGAGAACTGAATTTAACCCCCCAGTCATTATGTTTGAATGATGCCAAGAAAATATTGCTTGCAAAGTTAGAAAGGTTATTAGTAACAATAGGATAACACACAGCTGCTAAAGACCAATAATGACATACGAAACTGGTCTTTTTCTCAGGCCTTTTCCATGCTCTGACAGTCTGATAATTGCTGTGAGATGATTTAGCAGAAAAGTGACTACACAGCTTCTCACACAAGCACACAGGTTTGGACCTGAACCCATCCAGCTGTTTGCTGTAGAGAGCAAGGGCATCACTTCCCAACACTCTTCGCGCCTTGCTGACTCCCCAGACAGCAACAACGATAACATCTGCAACAAAACAACTGGAAAATATTTCCTTGGCACATTCCAAGGTAAAGCTCAGCCTGGGTCTTTGTGAGAGGTCTTCTGGCCACAAATTTTCCTACTGCTGTTAACAGTAGTAGTAGTAGAAGGAAGAGCCTAAAGTACAAACTAACCATTAGCATTTTACTCGTCGTGTTACATATTCCTGTTCAGCACAGGCCAAAATAACGTGCTGTTAGAAACCCCAGCAACAAGGGAAGGCGTTTCTCATTAGTGTACACATTCTAGCCATGGTCCCTGTAGCAGTATCACCAACAACAGAAATTTCTGCTGTTGTTTGCAATTCCCTCTTGTATAGACAGCATCTTTGCCTGATGTATACAAGACATTTCAATTTCATCCCAGGGAAGATTCTTTGGTACATCTGGTGGTTGTCTCATCAGCTTAACAAACCTGCATCTCATCTGCCTAAGACAAAAACTTTCACATCTCATGTTTGAAGAGGAAGTGGCCCTGTTGACCCCAAAGGTATTACAATTCCCACCACGTCACAGCAAGCTTTAAATGGAGCCACATATGAAAACATGCTTCAACTAAAACATCCTAAGCAACATGCACACTGAGCAGAGTCCAAGTGCAAGTCTAACAGTGCTTCAGTTGTTCGAACGGTACCTCTGAGGTTATGTCAAGGCTTAATCTGATAATATTAAAATAGTAAATTAGCCTAAAAGGGATTCTTCACTGGCCACTTACGATGCAAATCTCATTCCCCTTTTTGGACAGGGGTTAAATGGAGCTGTGGAGGAAGCAAAGAGTCCAGTTAAAACAGGAGAGGTGCTCCAACAGTGAGAGGACAGAAAAAAAGTAGGGCTTAGAATTTATGATGTCCAGGAGGCTTTGGTGTCATAGCCACTGCACTCAGCTTTATTGGGCTGTCTCCAAAAAGGCTGCCGGGCAGTGGAGCAGGTTTTAACTAGTTTAGACAGATAAAGATCACCCCCGTTCAATGGAAATGAACAGCTGGAGGCAACGGTTTAGAATCCCTGGAAACAAAACAATCTGAAGGCATGAGCAAATTAACTCCATGAACACTGAACTGATTAAGCAGGAACATTCTGCAAAAAAATCTGCTTCTACCCACTTACTGCTGCTCATGGACAGACCAGTCTCTCCCAGTAAGGAAAAGGAAGTATTTTTCTTGCATAATATTTTGTCAGGCACCAAAGGCAGAGAAGCTGATCTTGCCAAACAAGACACACATCTACATAAGCACATTCATAACTCATTAATAGCCACGATGGCCCGCTGAAGTATTCTTAGCTCATTCTGCAAACACGAGAAGTGACATACAGGTTAAATGACATGCCCAAAGTCACTCAGAGAGGTCAGTAGCAGAACTGGCAACACATTAGTCTAGATTGCTCCAGGAAATTACTTTTTTTTTTGGTAAGAATTTGTATAATACTTTGTAAAGTGGAAAATCTTAGTGTTACCATGATAGAAGGGACCCCACTTGAAAGCATGAGACCAGTAACTTTCTGCCTGTGCTCTGGATATCAATAATTGGCTTCAGGTAAGGATGAAAAGGTGACTAAGAAAACCAAGTTCATACACACTGTATAGCAATGCACACAAGATACATTCTTACAGGAGGTCTCTACACGCCCCAGGAACTTTGTAGGGGCATACAAACTTTGAAAACTGCTCTAGTTCACAAAAATCATCTATTCAGTACAAAACATTTTTCCTAATACCACAAATCAGTCCTCACCAAACCTGAAAAGCCCACTGACTTTCTGCACTATTGAAATAAGTTGCATTCATTGTGTTTTTACCTTCAGGACTTAGTATCAGAAACATTCAGCATTTAAATGGTTAACTCCACACTGCCTTTCTGGCTAAGGCTGATAATGCCTCTGAGCTCAAGGTCGAAGGGCTGAGATAAAGGACTATACGGAGTGAAAATTAGCACATTCCCTGGAGCAGACTGGAGCTTGTCCCAGGAGATAGGCTTCCCCACAGCCACCCTCCCACTCCTCTGCCCCAGAGAGCTCCTTGCTGCTGCTGTGGGTCACCACCACGGATCAAAATACAAATCCTGCACTGGAGAGGTGTCCCAGGTCACACTGCTGAGGGTGCTGGTGGGAAGGGTACAGTGGTTTGGTCACTTGACCTCATTTCCACCCAACTATTACGATTTGGAAGTGATGTTTATGGGCATTCCACATGACTGATACTGAATGCAGGTGGCTGCCTGGATGCAGCCCTTGTTAACCAGGGAAAAACAGGGAGATGCACAAAGCAGCAAAAAAAAAGAAAATATTTTTAATGGCATAAGGCTCCAGAAATAATGTTTTCCCAGCTATTTTCAGTGAAAGCCATGCTGTGCACTGTACAGGGAATTTACAGCTGTGCCAAGGGATCTATAGACTGAAGAGAGAGAAAGGGAGAATTACGGTGCTGCAGTTGCTGCGGTATGGAGTGATGTCTGTCTCTGCTTACCGATTTCAGCAGGCCCTGTCATGGGCAACATCCTTTTCTGAAAACAAAAGCCTGTACCTTTCTATTTAACCATCCACTGTTGGTGGAGTGAGAAACAGACAGGACCCCTGGTTTTCTCCTTCTCACCTCCCTGCTTTCCTCCTTGCCAAGCTGAGCAGACAGATCAGACACTGGCATCTGCAGTTCCCCTTCCCAAGGTTTGCATAGGAAGAATATGGTGGATGTCCTGGATATCCTGGTCCAGGCACCAGAGAACTACGGCAAATCACATCAGCATGTTAAACCAAAAATCAACCTTGTGCAGATCTTGCCCAGCAGTCCTACAGTCGGCTGAATGAAAGAAATGTTAAAAATCACTGCCTGATGCCAGCTCCTCTCCAGGCTGCCTCCTCTTGCCTGCTGGGGGCTGTGGAGCGTAGCTCCTCTTATACCTCAGCCTTGGCCATTAAAAGACTGTGCATGTTGCCAGTAATTCTATCCCTGCCAGTAGCCTGGACAATTTTGTAGGGTCATCTTTCTAGGAACATTTGGGCTCAGGATGGCTAGATTCCTGTCATTTGGAAGGTCTCTTTTGGCCAAGATAGAGATTTAAAAACCTTCACAGCTATGTATTGCCAAGTTACACCCTTCTTACATGATACACTGTTCAAACTCTGTCCAATTTTCCACTGCTCATCTTCCAGAGATCTTTTAACAACAGCCAGTGCATTTATACGTACAGTCTTCTTTCAAAGCCTTCCATGGAATTTATTCTGCTCGTGAACAAAGCTCTCAGGACTGTTCTAAAGGTTAAGTTAAACTAAACAGTTAGTCTATGCAATGCCCACGTGGCTTAACAAACAGCAAATGGGCTGTCCTATATGGGATACTGGCAGTTAGAATAACCTTGAGATCTGTCCCTCCTGAAATCCATTGAATTGGGCAAACTTCAGGCACCTGGGTGCATTACGAAGCAGCAGCTCCAACTGTGTGACAGTTACCCTGATGGGGACCAGCAAGCTCCCTTCCCTGCCTTAACATGAGGCCTTTCTAGGTGGCAATAGGGAAGGGAGTGGAGTGGCAATAGGGTTCCTTCTCAAAGATGCTTGGGTCTCCATTATATGAGACACCAGAATAAAACTTTAAAGGTACTAACGTGATTTTCCATTCCACTACACACCAAAAGGGTCAATTTGAAAAAGCTTTCCTGTTCCTTATTGCCTTTTTATCCTGCAGCATGACCTTAATCAATCCAAGGCTAGGGACCAGGAAACATTTTTGCATAATTCCTCCTCCTTATCCCTCCTCTCCCCAGTGAATGATTTTACATTAAATCAGCACAAAGGTCAGTAGATTGATGGTGGATTATATAGGAAACAGGTGAACTGCTGTGCACTAGGTTCCCAGCTGAGTACAATGACCGCAATGTGTTTGTTGGAACAAAGGATGCCCTTTGTATAAAGTTAACTGTATGAAATGAACATCTGGGCAATTGAAACTGGATCAAAAAGCAAAAGATCCCACAGA